AAAAGATGATATATTGTTTATGTTTGGGATGTCGTTGAATATATTTAAGAGCTGTTAATATGGCGTTTGCTTCTGCTGTAAAAATGGAGCTGTTATCTGGTATTCTAGAAGATATTGTTCTGGGATCCAATGACCGTGGCACATGACACCGCGCCACCATCCTTGGACCCATCTGTAAATAAGGATTTGTGTGTATTATATTTAGATTTTAGTTGACTATATTCTTGTTTATATTGTAATTCATTAGTTTCAGATTTCTTAAACTGTGTCAAAGTAAGGTCAACATCAGGCCTAACCAGTTGCCAAGGAGGAGAAGAAAGAAGACGGGAAGGAGCTATATTTCCCAGCTCAATGCCGGCAGCGGACAGGAATGGCTTAATTCTGTGCCCAAGAGGCGGAACAAGAGAAGGTTTTTTTATTGTATAAATCCTCATAGAGGAGATTAAAGACACAGTTAAATGCAGGGTTAGACTCGCTAGAATATAGTTTAGTAATGTATTGTAAGGATAATTTTATCCGACGTTGTGTAAGAGAAGGCTCATCTGCTTCAACATATAGACTATCAATAGGAGAGGTTCTAAAGGAACCAAGACAAAGTCTTAGGCCTTGGTGGTGGACAGAATCAAGAAGTTTTAAGTTGCTTTTGCAGGCTCCACCATAAACGATGGAGCCATAATCAAGTTTCGAGCGAACCAATGATCGATATAGGTGGAGCAGGGTAGCTTGATCCCTTCCCCACTTTGAGTTGGAAACAACTTTCAACAAATCAAGTGCCTTCAGGCATTTAGCTTTAAGGGCTTTAATATGCGGCAAAAAGGTTAAATGAGAGTCAAAGATTAGACCCAAGAACTTGGCCTCCTTCACAAGTTTGATGGGAGTGCCATTTAAAGATAGTTCAGGGTCTTTATGCGGCTTATATTTTCTACAAAAGTGTAGACAATTAGTTTTGGATTTGGAAAATTTAAAGCCGTTTTCAAGACACCATTTATTTATTTTATTTAAACACAACTGCAATTGCCGTTCAATGGTATGCATATTTTTACCACGACAGGAAATATTAAAATCATCCACAAAAAGCGATCCATCGATTGAATCATTTAAAACCTTGGATAAACTGTTGATCTTGATACTAAATAAAGTGACAGACAAAATACTGCCTTGAGGGACACCCTGATCCTGATTGTAATGGTCAGACAGGGTTGAACCCACTCGGACTTGAAATTGTCTGTCTTTCAAAAACTGTGATATAAAAAGAGGCAAACGGCCTCTCAAACCAAAGTCATGTAAATCCTTCAAAATGCCATGCTTCCAGGTCGTATCATAAGCTTTCTCAAGATCAAAGAAAATTGATACAGCATGTTGTTTATTTACTATAGCATTCTTAACAAAGGATTCTAAACGTACCAAATGATCAATGGTACTACGATTTTTCCTGAAACCACATTGAATATCTGTTATAAGGTTATTGGTTTCAAGATACCAAGTTAATCTATTATTCACCATACGTTCCATGGTTTTACAAACACAGCTAGTTAGAGCGATCGGTCTGTAATTAGACGGATCGGTATGATCCTTTGCCAGGTTTTGGTATTGGGACTACAATGGCATTACGCCATGAAGGAGGAAATTCTCCAGACGTCCATATTTTGTCAAAGATATCTAAAAGTGTCATAAGACACTGTTCCGGTAAGTGTTTCAGTAGCTGGTAATGTATATTGTCATCACCACGCTGCAGTGTCATGAGCTTGCTCAAGAGCAGTATGTAGCTCATGTAATGAAAACACTTCATTATAATCTTCACCGTTATGCGAGTCAAAATTAAGTTTCGTCTTTTCCTGTTGTTTCTGATATCTCTGAAACTCAGGGACATAATTTGCCGATGATGAATTTTGGCAAGAGTTTCGCCAATTTTATTTGCAATGTTGCATTTGTCAGTTATTACATTGTCACCATCTTTAAGATGATGAACAGCAGATTTGGAACCTTTGCCTTTTATTCTCTGAACCATGTTCCACACCTTAGACATTGGCGTGCGTGAATTAATATTGGAGACATATTTCCTCCAAGATTGTCGTTTGTTTTGTTTGAAGGTACGACGTGCCTTTGCATTGAGTATTTTGAATTTATTTAAATTGTGGACCGTTGGATGGTGGCGGAAATAATGTTCTGCCTTCTTCCTCGCCTTTCTGGCTTGTCTACAGTCTGTATTAAACCATGGTTTCCGTACATGTGGAGTTGTAGAGGATTTCGGTATACACTCGTCAGCTATTTCATTTATAACGTCAGCAAAAATCTGAATGGGATCAGTTATATCACTGAAACATTCAGGTCGCAATTTAGATTTACATAAAGTTTTATATAAAGACCAGTTCGCCTTCGAAAAGTTCCATCTTGTATACGATGGAGAATCAGATGGAGTTACTTCTGAAAGGATAGTTGGGAAGTGGTCACTTCCACAAAGGTCATTATGAACAGACCAATCAAATTCATTCAGGAGGTTAGAATCTGCAAGAGACAAATCCAGAGAAGAATAAGTGCCAGTTGCAGGATGCAGATAGGTGCTTGAATCATCATTAAATATGCACAGGTCATTATTGGAAATGAAATCTTCAATTATTTTGCCTTTAGTATTAGTGTTAATACTGCCCCAGAGTGGGTTGTGACCGTTTAGGTCACCCATAATAACACATGGCTTTGGGAGTTGATCATAGAGTGATTGAAGATCAGTCAGCTGAAGGTCTGATGAAGGCGGAATATACAGAGAGCAATAATGTAAATGCTACACCCAGAGTAAGTCGCACTGCAACAGCTTGAGAGTAGTATTAAGAGTAACAGGGCTGTGAATAACGTTCTGTCGTATAAGGATAGTAGAACCTCCAGTAGCCTCTATCACCTGGAGGGGAAAAATAATTATAGTCTTCAAACTGGCTTAAGTTAAAATGATCTGTTTGTTTCAGATATGTCTCTTGCAGACAGAACGCTGATGGTGTTAAATCTTGGACAATTAGCTGTATTTCATTAAAATTTGTCCGGAGTCCTCTACAGTTCCACTGCACGATATTGGTAGATAAACCTATCTTTTAGGCGGATTAATGGGGATCTACCCCTGCACTGTTTTCGAGGGCGACAAGCCATGTGCCCTAGAATGGACGTTTTCGGACACGTCCATGTCCTCAAGTGATCCGTATTTGTTATACAATTTGACTTTATCATCGGAACCTTTTGGGGCTCTGCCACTTTGTTTTTTCAAAGAATCTTGCTTCGGTTTGCCTTTGCTTTTGACGGTTGTTGGAACGTTACTGCTAGACTGAGACATTTGAGACGCCTGAGAAGACGTATCATGATCATAATTTGCTTCTGAGTGTGTTTGGGGCGTGCGAGGAAGTGGTTCCGCAGTTTGTGTAGACATACATGATTCCGAAGTATGCGTAGAACGCACGGATGTGACAATTTCTGGCTTGTTCGTTTTGACCCAAGTCAAATCTGTTTGGCAGGTTACAGACGATGTGGATACTGGCGATGTAGTTACCTGTGGCCTGATTTCAGAGGGTGTCTTAGTGACAGATGCATACGTATCGTTTGGCAACGTAGATTCAACCAACTTTTTTGCATCAGCAAAGCTAATGTTTTGTGTGAATTTAATTCTGTTAATGTCCATTTGTTTTTTCCACATTTTGCAGTCTTTGGAAAAAGAAGAATGGCTACCCGAACAGTTTGTGCACTTTTTAATGACATTTTCGCAGTCTTCCGTGACATGAGTCGTCTCGCTGCAATGTCCACATGTTACTGGCTTTGTGCAAGTGTTTGCGCCATGACCATATTTTTGGCATCTATAACACCTTAATGGATTTGGAATATAGATATCGACTGCAATGTTACAATATCCCGCCTTAATTGACTGTGGGGATTCGGGGTTGAGAACGAAAACAGATAGGTATTAGTTTGAATAGTCTCATTGTTTTTGCGGGTAGTGAACCTTTTGACATAAGTAACTCCTTGGTCCTTCATTTCCGACACAATATCCAGTTCCGTCATGTCAGTCAACAAGCGTTCCCTGTCTCTGATTATGCCTTTGCTGGTATTCAGTGTTCGGTGTGCTGACACTGAGACAGGAACACCCACAAATGATTCAATAGACATTAGGTTTGATGCTTGTTGCCTTTGCTACATTCAATTAGCAATGCACCTGAACGTAAACGTTTAATGTTTTGACGTCTCCCGCAATGCCATGTATACCCTTTGATACAGCAAATGGGTTTAATTTCAGGGCGTTTTATCAGGACTTTCCAGCACCAGGAAACGTGGCCAGTAATCAGTAGATTTTGAAGGTCGTTCATCGTCGTTGTCCAGTGGACGTTTGGGTTTTTTGAGGGGTTTGGTACTCCATGGTTGTTTATATAATGGTTCATCATCCGAGCTCCCCACCCGCCACGGAGTGTCATAAAGACAGTGCTAATAACAAGTGGATCTCCGACTTGCAGCACCAGGGATACCCGGATGATATACGCCAGCAGAAGAATTAAAGAATTAATTAATCTACCAGATTGGCCCATGAGCCACCGCCTTCTGGGTATATGACTCTAGGCAAATTACAAAATTGATGAAGATGCACTTGAAATTCAATTGATAAATAATTTAGCCAAGACTTTTATCAAAACCAGTTAAAAGTTGAAGTATTTTGTGAAATACAATAATACTCAGGGCTTGGCATGACCAGCCGATTGGTTGAACTGGGCCCATTCAACCACCCGTCTAGGTGAAGTAAACAGCTGGGAAGGAGTGAGGTACAGCTGGGGAGCTGTGAGGTACAGCTAGAGAGGTATGAGGTACAGCTGGGGAGTTGTGAGGAACAGCAAGGGACGTGTGAGATACAGCTGGGGAGTGGTGAGGTACAGCCAGGGAGGTGTGATGTAAACTAGGGAGCTGTGAGGTACAGCTAGGGAGGTATGTAGTACAGCTTGGGGAGCTGTGAGGAACATCTGGGGAGTTGTGAGGTACAGCTAGGGAGGTGTGAGGCACAGCTGGAGAGCTGGGAGGAAACAGCTAGGGAGTGTGAAGTACAGCTGGGTAGGTGTGAGGTACAGCTGGGGAGTTGTGAGGTACAGCTGAGGAGTTGTGTCTAACAGCTGGGGAGGTGTGAGGTACAGCTAGGGAGTTGTGAGGAACAGCTTGGGAGGTGTGAGGATATCCAGGTAGGGAAGTGTGAGATAGAGCTAGGGAGGTGATAGGTACAGCTAGGTAGGTGTGATGTACAGCTGGGGAGTTGTGAATGTACAACTAGGGAGGTTTGAGGTACAGCTGGGGAGTTGTGAGGAACAGCTGGGGAGGTGTGGAGGTACAGTTGGGGAGTTGTGAGGTACAACTAGGGGAGCTGTGAGATACAGCTAGGGAGGTGTGAGGTACAGCTAGGAGGTGTGGATGTACCGCTAGGGACGTTAGCTAGATACAGCTAGGGAGGTGTGAGGAAACAGCTGGGAAGGTGCAGATGTGGCCAGCTGAGGAGCTGTGGGAGGTACAGCTGGGGAGGTGTAAGGTACAGCTAGGGGCTGTGGAGGAACAGCTGGGGAGGTGGAGGTGGCACAGCTAGGGAGGTGTGAGGTACAGCTTGGGAGAGCTGGGAGAGGAACAGCTGGGGAGCTGTGGGAGGTACAGCTGGGAGGTGAGGCTACAGCTGGGGATTTGTGAGGAACAGCTGGGAAGGTGTGAGATACAGCTGGGGAGCTGTGAGGTACAGCTAGTGAGGTGTGATATACAGCTAGGAGGTGTGAGACAGCTAGGGAGTGCACGGAGCTGTATGGTGGGAATTACAGCCAGTGTGAGGTACAGGTGGGGAGCTGTGGGAGGAACAGCTGGGGATGTGTGCGTTACAGGGGAGTTGTGGAGGCCAGCCAGGGAAGGTGTGGAGGAAACAGCTGGGGAGGTGTGGATACATCCAAGGAGGCGTTAGGTACAGCTGGAAGGTGTGAGGTACAGCTGAGGGTTCAAGTCGTGAGGTTGGTTTGAGTTTAATGAGCTTTAACTGTGTTATTGATACATAAACCCCTCGCATTTGTTTTTAATGTTTGAATTAGGTTGATTCGGGCAACTCTATTACTCCCCTCCTGTTGATCAACTTTGACCTTCCATGCTAAGTGATAAGACTTTCATAGTTTAGTTGCAAGGGTATTGAAGAGTATCACCAGACTCTGCACGTTCATACAACCGGACTGAACTGGGTACGACATTGCTCTTTAAGTTGTTACAAGCATGAGCATCGATCTGCACAATTGGGAACCGATGACATGTGTCGACCAGGTCAACGAGCCTGACCAAACGATCCCGTTAGTCGCCTTACGACAAGCATAGGTTACTGAAGATCAATATTCTAACCCGGACCTTCACGGGTGGCGCCCGCACAGTATTCTCGAGGTCAAACTCTGGTCTCATATTACTCAGGTAACAGTTTGATATGATGATATTAACTTTCTTGTGACGGTAACAACGACGGAATGTGGACTTGAATTTGGAAAGTGTGGTGGAGACATAGCAAGGTTTGAACATGTCATTCTTAAATGTTGTCGAAAACTTCCTTCTCTTCTCTCACAAACACTAACTGAAGTTTGCAATTTTACCGCGAACTCCTCAATAATACGCATGAGGTCATGGGTGGTGGGTAGCCTAGTGGTTAAGACGTTCGCTCGTCATACCGAAGACCCGGGCTCAATTCCCAACAAAGATACAATGTTTGAAGCCCATTTCTGGTGTTCCTGCAGTAATATTAGTGAAATATTGCAAAAGCAGTGTAAAAGTAATACTCACTCACTCATTGAAGTCAGGTGTTGAGGGCTACAACAGACAATATGTTCAGTGGGAAGGTGCGCGTTGAGGTACAGCTGGGAAGGTGTTATTGAGGAACAGCTGGGTGGTAGGTTAGCACGGAATGAAGTGCTGTACAGCTGGGAAGGTGTGAGGAACAGCACGGAAACTGTATGGTACAACTAGGGATGTGTGAGGTACAACTAGTGAGGGGTGAGGTACAGCTGGGAGAGGCGTGAGGTACAGCTAGGGAGGTGTAAGGTACAGCTGGGGGGGCTGAGGTGTGGGAGGTACAGCTGGGGAGATGTGAGGAACAGCTGGGTAGGTGTGAGGAACAGCACGGAAACTGTATGGTACAACTAGGGAGGTGTGAGGGTACAACTAGTGAGGGGTGAGGTACAACTGGGAAGGTGTGAGGTACAGCTGGGGGCTTGTGAGTTACAGCTAGGTAGGTGTGAGGTACAGCTAGGGAGGTGGTGAGGTACAGCTGGGAAGATGTGAGGTATGGCTGGGCGTGTGTGGGGGTACAACTAGGGAGGTGTCGAACAGCTAGGGAGGTGTGGAGGTACAGCTGGGGAGATGTGAGGTACAGCTGGGGTTTGTGTGAGTTACAGCTAGGTAGGTGTGAGGTACAGCTAGGGAGGTGTGAGGGTACAGCTGGGGGTTCAAGTCGTGAGGTTGGGCTGTGAGGAGTGAGTGAGTTTAGTTTTACACCGCTTTTAGCAATATTACAGCAATATCACGGCGGGGAACACCAGAAATGGGCTTGACAACACATTGTACCCATATGGGGAATCGAACCCGGGTCTTCGGCGTCACGAGCGAACGCTTTGACCACTAGGCTACCCCACCGCCCCTGAGGTTGGGTTGAATATAATGAGTTGTAACTGTGTTATTGACATAACCCCTGGCAGTTGTCTGGAATGTTTGAATAATGTTGAACTGGCCAAACTATTAATACCCTCCTGTTGTGATGATAAATCGTTTGTTTGCTTACTTCGACCTGTCCATGCTGCGATAAAACTTTTCATAGTTTAGTTGTCAGGGTATTGAACAGTATCACCAGACTCTCTGCACGTTCATACAACCGGGCTGAACTGTACGACATTGCTCTGTAAGTTGTTACAAGGTGGTACAGTGTTGTCTGAAAGGTTACTGAGTGTCTTCATGAAGCGACAACCTTGAAGGACTTGTGTTTAGACAACAGGACGGTTGACCAGTATCTGGGAGCTGAGGTATTTATTGTTTCTCATACACACAGCAAGGAGTCACTAGTCATGCATGCATTTTGGTCCACGAGACGTTAAACTTGCATGGAATTTGACGATGAAGTTCGCTAACACTGATATTCGGCGATATATTTCATCAATTCTCATCATGCCGTTAACGAAGATCAATATGTTTTTAACTTTTGTCGTTTTATATGTAAGTACAATTTTCAAAAAAGAAACGCATAGACATTTTCAGAAGAATTATTTAGTTTAAGAGCAATTATATCATGTAATTACAATGTTAGAAAGGTGCGAGTTCGCACGTCTATAGACAAGAGGTCGCCAACACAACAGCAGACTTAATTGTTGTGTATTCCGTACACTACTTCGTAAGGCCACCATTGGCAGCAATTACCTCTCGAAACTGTCTCGGCACAGACTGATTAAGTTGACGAAGTCGCTCTTGCGGAATTATTCCCACCTCTGCCACAGGCTCTCGTGTCTTTCCGAGGATTAAAGTTTAATTTGTATATATTGATTTTGAGATGACCCCCGACTGGAAATGTTTCACAGTACAATACATCATGACAAACCCGGACCCTTCGGTGTACCCCACCCGCCTGCTTTGCTGATCGATACGCTACCATCGCATGCAATCGATTAAAAGTTCATGTAAACATAATCATGGATTATTGGCCTATCGAGCACCACCAACGACACCTACCAATTCAATATTGTTATTTCTGCAAGTCGATTGAAAACCGATTTTGACCCTCAAATAAACGACCTTGACACAAATGGCTGACGATATGTCCGCACTAAACAGGGGTGTGGTCGAAGCAAGCAGCTACAACTTAAAGGGATGCACAGACTATTAATACATGTGCCGTTCTTCACCACACATGGAATCTGTTTGAGAGGTTCATGTCAGGGCATTCTGTTTCGTTAGAACTCAGAATGCTGTGTGGGTTATATATATAAAAATAAATACTTAAGATGGATATTATTGTTACTTTGGATCCGAGTATTTGGCGATTAGGTGCTAATGAGCCCTTTTCTGATCAGTAGGTAATAGCTTTAAGACTTTTTTGTTATGGAAATTACATTACATTTGAAATAACTCACTTTGTTGTATACTGCTTATGTCATACAAAGCAGACCCTGGTTATAACAATACAAACACAGGCAGATGCATTCACAAACACGAAACCGTTAGGTCCCTAATTTCAGTACACAATTGTAGGCGCTAACTGGCTAACCATTGCTGCAGAAATATAGTCAGCTATACTTTGAAACAAATAATACAACTGACCAATGATTTTCGGTGTGAAATATTGTTGTAAAAGTATATATAATATAGAACTAACTTCATGGATAACAACTTCTTTTATTCGCGATGCGACGTTTCGATACAGATTCTTATCTTGCCTCACACATAAATGTCGTTTTCTGAATGGCTGAGCGCTCTTCTGTTGTTTTCAATGTACCCCGCTTACAAACGAGTAACATTTTCTATGTACTCCACTGGGAATGCCGAACTCATTTGGTACTCCGTGGTTGTAGTTCTTTATCTCGAATAACGATGAATCACGTATGATGTTTTGGTTAATTAAGAGCGCTATTAAAATATTTCACCCATGGGTGAATAAAATTTGCCCAATGGAGAGAATATTTACTTTTGCTCAAAATTCAACTTTTAGAATAGTATCTTACCACTTCTGTGGTATTTTAAAATAAACTGCTATAGTTTAAACAAGAATACTGTAAGTATTGTCATAAGTGCAAAAAATTGAAAGGTCATATGGGCATCTGTATACACGCTTTTGTCCAATCATGCATACAATTTTAAGATATTATCTTATCGAGAGGTGTAAGCCGTGGGCTCGACTGCCGTCTGGCGTGCGGTACAAAAAGCCTTTTTCCTAATGCAAGATTGGAAAGATTGATGCAATGAGAACGGAACTTAGAAAGCTTTATACACGAACAGTTGCGGCCTTGTAGGGGTATAAATCAAAAGCATAATGAATTTTATCAATGCCACTTGTATGATGTTGACAAGTATGGCTTAACTTTCTCTCCGAATTCTGTCGTGAACCTAATTTTTTTAAACTGGAATGTACCACTTACATCTCCTTCGTGGTCAGGAAGCAACTGGTACAACATTATTGAGTGCGTGATAAGATGATGAAATTTGTTGACGTCTCCTCATCCCTGTCTGTAAAGAAACCAGATAATCCAGTGATTTCTATAGCTGACGTGAACCCCTTTCCTTCAACACAAGTTTAAGATTTGTTTGCGGTGTTTAAAAACTAGCAACCACTCAGCATGCTTGCAGTAACAAGTCTGAGGGCTGTAAATAGTCGAATCCGGACCAGACAATCGAGTGATCAACATGTGAGTCGATCAACGCAATTAGGATACGATGATACGCGAAGACAGCGAGCCTGACCACTGGGACCCGATCCTTTCACTTTTAACGACAAACATGAATACCAATGCAAACGCGGAACTTCACTGGTATAATTATATATGTGTCAGAGGGTTAATATGAGTTTCAAACAACGCCGGTTAGAATACTAATGTTATGACTGCGGATGAACGTCTTAGTTGTGAGTGAGTACATTCTGCATATTCCGATCGAACTCGTACGTGACGTTTCTTATGTTAAAGGTCACATGCGACGTAAAACACAACTTTGCAGATGCTGATACCTTT